CATTAGCATGCGTTAGCCCGAAGCAGAGAGGGCCGAGGTTCCTGGAGTCATGGTGGGATTCTGCAAAGGGAGTTCCTGCAGGAGAGGTGGACTTTGTGGGCCGGCCTGGTCGCCTCTGCATGATAAGGACAGCCCTTGTTTCTCTGAATATTGCACGTTTTGTTACGAAAGGCCTGTGGGAGGCTGGAGACCGGGCCTGGACTCGGGGAGCGACCTGGGCGGGGCCGCCATTCTCAAAGGTGTCAAACCTTCTGATCACAGCTGGTTCTCTGGGAACCTAGCTAGCTTCCAGATCCTGGTTCTGCTCAATGTTTGATGAGAAACCAGAGCCAGGATCTCCTCCAGAAACTCGGTTTGAAATGAAACGATGGGAGAAGATGAGCAGTAGGAAGACTGTGGTGGCGCTTTCTGGTACATCTGGAGGACTAAAACTCAGGGTTTCATTCTACAGTTTGTCTACTGAAAAGGCAGAGCTCTGATATCAGAGTCTGCTTGGATGGGGGCAGGATGAAGACCAGGAAACTCTCATGGATCCTTTGATTAAGATCCTTTCAGCGGACGAATGTGTGCTTTTTCTCTAAGGTTGAAAGGTCTCACCAACACTGGTCTTTGTCACGATAATCCTATCTGGTGCTCTACCAGCGTGGCCGATGCCGATCCATGTCTGGGCACTTGTGTTTGGATATGGCTATGATCTGGATGGACTGGGTGCAGGCTAAATGCTGGTTGGAAAAGGACAGGGATAGAGTTTTACTGAGGTCCGCTGTTTGGCAAAATGTGGCTGAGAGACGACATCAAACAGAGATGGTGATCAGGTAAAGCTCTTCCAGTGACCAGAGGCGTGGCTTCAAAAGCCCTGAAGGCGGGGTTTAGTTTCCTAATATGGAGGGAAGCACTTTCATCAGAGGAGCCAGTGGGTGGAGCCTCTGGATTCGGGGTTATGGACGGACGTGTGGCCGTGTTCACACCACAACACTTATTTTTGTCTTAAGAAATAAGGAGATCGAAGCGTAAATCGGTAAGACTCTGAAGCACAGTGTGAACACAGCGCCTGAAGCGAGCGTGGTGGAGGACGACGACGGCGGAAGATACGTGACTCCGCCTCTCTTTGCTGCCGTCTCTCATTCTCAGGGACGGAGAGCGTAGGGGTGCGGGGAGGCTGAGGACGTACGACGTCCCAGGAATAAAAGCAGAGAAAAAGGACAGAGATCGAAGTGCTTGTCAACTTTGACGGGAATAAATATCTCAGTAGATTTATACATAGACATGCAAGTCATTTTTTCTCTCTTTGAAGTTATTTACAATAATTACAGAACACAAGATTCCAGTTTCAGTTTGACAAAATTGCGAGCATTCAATATTCAATATTACTACTATTATTTATGATGACATAACCCTTTTCTTTAAATCATTGCAATCCTGGAGTTGTGGTTACCTCCCTTGTCAAAGTGTTTCTGTATTTGATCACATTGTTGAAGCCGTTCGCTCTCCTTCTGGGTTTTTGCAAATGTTTTACTGCATTTTATTTGCCTTTTATGGTAAGAATTATAATAACAACAACAGTAATAATAATGTTATTTAAGTGTATTTCTCAATATGGTAGGGGCTGTGGGTGTGGTCTATCTATGTGACCCCTCCCCTAACTCCTCCCACTCAGGAAAAGAAACACTGTTAAACCAAATACTGTCTCGTTTGATGAACAGAGCAAAGAGACGTTTGGATCAAGCATAAAAAAAATCATCAATTCAGAACAAGTCGCAGCGTTTACTGCAACCAAAACCAAATATTCTCATGTCGTCAGAGCAGGACGACAACAGGTTTGGTTTCTGAAATCTAAAACAAAAAAAAAAAAATCACCATAGAGGGGTTTGGTCCGACGGCGGAGGAGGGAGAAGTAAGTCATGGTTCACGCAAACTGAAAGGAACAACGGTGAGCGAAGGAACGTGTTGAAGGATTTTGTTACCAGGATCTTTGGAGCCTCGGCGTCGGACCAGAACCCTCTCAGGATGAATCGTTCGTGTCCTGCTCTGACGGAAACGGTACACAGCCCACAGAAGCAGAACGTCACGAGGCCGTGTACGCACAGTCATACAAACGCAGTATGTTGGTGTAAGATTTACATTAATATATTCATATATCGTTGTTTATATATCGGTTGACGAGGCTGCAGTCCTTCGTCACACTGCGGATGGCGCTCGCTGCTGGTTCGTGGCGGCTGGACTCGTTTTTAGTGCTCTTTTCAATGTTTTGCTACTTAAACTTTGTTGGAGGATATCTGCTGTAAAGCAAAAGCAGCTCCGCCTGGAAACCTGGAAACCTGCAACCATTAGTGAGACGTTCTCCAGAAACGTCCAGCTGCAGAGCCCGTTCCTTTTCTGGTTCACTAGAACGTTTAAGAGAAACTGTTCATAAACTTCTAAAGGTTCTTCGGTGCAAAGCATTAGGAGCAGGTAGGGAGATACAGGAAGGGACCTCAGGCTGGAGGAGCTGGAGCAGCTTAGCTCTTCGTTTTAGACTTTAAGCAACTTAAAACTGGCCTTTTTTTATCCTACAATAAATTCACACTTTCACTTTCATTTCTGCCTCTTTATATTAAATCATTTGTAAACAACAGAAACGATAATAGCCATTATGAATTTAAATTGTTCTGCCTTTGCCTCTTTCCAACCTGCAGCTGCGCTTTGATCCGGAAGTGTGAAGATGACTGAAAAACCAGCCGTACAGAAAAAAAAACAAAATGACACCAAAACAACAAGAACAAGAGCGGTTATTAAATAGAAGAAGAAAGCACCACCGTTGTCTCCGGTTATGATTATGTGCCGTATTTTTCCACTAATCAGACCACAATCTATCATCTACAGGAGGAAAGGAATCTGGAGGCGGACATCTTTGTTAGACTGGTCGGATGAACTGATTGACAAAAACACCAAACATGCAGTGAGGGCTGGTGGCGTGAAGGGCATCAGGGCGTCCTTTTTCATATATGCATTTTTTTAAATTCTTGTGTCTCTGGGAGGAAAGCGTCGGTGTAAACTTGACTTGCTTTGTGCTCTTCGATTTTTAGCGGCGGACATTTTGAGAACACGAGTCGGGAGGGAAAAGGCTTTGGTTTGGATCAAACTAACAGTTAATACTGCGCACATCGAGAACTCCGATCCTCTCTGTCGCATTTCTTTTAACAATTTGTGAAAACTGCTGCAACCCGGCGGACTGCAATCTGACGCTTCACACGTCTTTTAAAAAAACTATTAAAATAACCCCAAAAAAACTGTCAACACACGCACACGCTCACAGACGCTTCGTCTTCGCCGAAGATGGAGGGGAACATGCTGCACACGTACAAAGATGGTAGGAGGTGCAACCGAAAGGTTACTCTACAGGCAATTTCTTAGCAAACAAAGGGTGGAGTAGATAAAGGCGGGGGTGAAATCCAGCAAGAAGTTCAGACCAACCGGAGAGACTGAAGCTGATGGGAATTTAGCCTTTCACTTTTCAACAAAACACTCAAATTATGTCCCAAAAAAACAAAAATACTGAAACGCAGATTAATTAGTAACAGATAATAGTTTGTAGCAAGTAGCTAATGTGCTAATCAAACAGGTCCGATGAGTGGTAAAGTGCACGATAAGGAGAGCGGGGTGGGGTACAAAAACACCTTCATGCAAACTCTACAACGCTTTGCATGCCTTTTTTGTAATTATTGTTATAATTTTTTACACACAGCGGGATGGATGGGGTAGGTCAGACTCCCAGCACTTGTCGCCATCTTTTTTTTTACAACTAAACGACTACAAAACAAGACAGGAGGACCGGGGAGGGCTGAAGACCTGGATAAACCCACCCTGACCAAAATAATCTGGTAGCTTCTTCATGGCTGGATGTGGTTTTAGGGGCCTGATGGGCAAAAGGGGAACTTTACAAAACACACACACAAAAAACAACCACAATGTCATCAAACTGGCTGGTGCTTTGACAACATCCTCACCTTCATCCACCTCAGTCACCACCAGGACAACCATCAGCTGACCAGAAGACCATGGCATTGATTCAAGACTAACATTAAAAAATCGGATGCATGAAGTTTCAATAAAATTTCAACTTTCTAAGACCCTAAATTCACTTCAGTTTCCACTTCTTTAAATTCTGGAGACGTCTTAAAATAGAAAACATCGACGACGGCGGAGAAAAGGGTCCAATGATTCAGTTGAGGAGAGATTTGTAGGGTTTTGGGGGTGACACTTTGGTGAACACAACAGTTTTGGTTTACTGAAGCCAAAGATTAAGAAAAACAAACCCCACTTTTCTCTAAAGCTGAAGCTAGAACATCAAGCGCATCACAGACATCTAAAGCTAACGATGCTAACCTCTACGTCTAAAGGAAAAACACGTTTTACATTACACAGCGACTACTTTTCTAACTCTGTTCATTGAATCTAGACTTATAGCTCTGGCAGAGAGTGCAGAGGGGATCTGGAGGTGGTTTGTCATTCGGCGTAGGCCTCAACAGAAGAACGTTAGCCTCCGTATCACAGAGCCTGAGCGCGTTCCTCCTCTGGGCTATTCTTACCCAGCATCATGGCAAATTACAAAAATGTTACCAAACACTTTTTTAAGGGACACAGAATCCTTTAAAATCTGCTGTTATGTAATAAAAAGTCGCCTCTCTGGAGTCCTGCCACTTGGACGTTGCTACAATAGGCTAATGTAGGCTAATGTTAGCACTGGAAAAATGACCTAGATATAAATAAAAAATCTCTTAAATAAAATGTATTTATGCTTAATTTGAGCAGCTAAATGAGATAGTTTGCCAATGAAATGAATATTTCTACACTTAAAATAAGATAATTGAATAATGTGCACTTGAAATAAGACAATGCAATTATTTTCCCTATTTTAAATGTAAATTGTCTCGTTCCTATGGCAAAATGTCTCTTTTATCTCCTCAATTCAAGAAATAAATAACTTGTTTTAAGAAAAACTTATCTAGATTTTGATTTTCCCCAGATTTTAGCAGCCAAACGCTGTTAAACTCTTATATTTTAATGGCCCAGTGTGGTAAAAATGTGTCACTTAGAAACATGTGAAGTTAAAGTTTTAATCCATGAGACGACGTTGCTGTGTGACATCAAGCGCGCGTTTGTTCATTTTCAGCTTCTTCTCCAGTGTGGAAAAATCTTTCTTTTTAACCTTTTTAACAAACCCTGGATTACAAACAACCAAACAAAATGTCTCTACAGCATTTTTATTCTTTTTATTGTTTCACACATCGAGTTAAAGATTATGTGAGAGGTACCTAGCATTAGCTTGTGATTCCATTTATAGATAGCGCGTAGAATGCTAATACTGACCAAGATTAAATCTCAGTTAAAGTCGCTAACTTTTTATTCAAGTGATTTAAATAGATAAAATATTTCTCATGTTACAATTATTTAATTATTAGCTACAGTTAATCCATAAGCAGTGAGAGCTATGCTACAGATTAACAAGGAATACCTTCCAAGCTAGCATAATTTGGTTTACGATTGGAGGCTAACAGTTTGGTGCTTAAAACAACACACTTGTATAATCTATTTTGATTAGAAAAATGTATAAATACTGTTTATGATGTAGTATCAAATATTTCTAGAGTTAGCCTTCCGTTAATTTAGAATTAGCCTATGATTAACCAGTTAGCCGCTAGTACAGTCACAGTACAACTAGAATAGCTGTAGAAATAGATAGAATAGACTTCTGGATTAGACAGAGATCATTTAAAAGCAATTGGAAATAGTTTCCAGAATATAAAGGATCGAACCGTGATTAGCTGTAAATACCTTTGAATAATTAAGAAAATAATTTTCTTGCATGACACTGGGCTGAACAGCAATAATGCCATTCAGAGTTTGAGAAAACTTAACTAGATAACAGACAATTAATCTTCAATAAGCCTACACAAGTACAAGCTAAGCCTACATCATGCAAAGCAGGTGAGACTAATCCAAACACTGGCAGGAGCACAACATTCATGGGGCCAGTCTACCTCAGAAATGAAACATGTATGACGTGTTCATGTCAGTGAATGCGTGTCACGTTGGTCCACCTTCCAGAGAACAAAATGCACCAATAGAACAGGAAGTGGTTGTCAGGCATGTTTTTAGTGAAATGCTACCATACTCCAGGACTTCCAGGAAAGGAAAGGTAAAGAGTCGGACGGTGCTTCCTGTCTCAGCATCACGTTATTCCCGGGAAGGCCTTCGGGTGTGGCAACCGAAACATCACAGCCCTCCAACACAAACACACCAGACACATCAGATGCCTACAACTCAACGGAAACACGATGTGAAGCAGATACAGCACAGGATACGTCACACGCAGCGCAACAGCAGCACGACAAAAGCAACAAACGCTTGCCATCGAAAAACACGAAACAACCGCCGCCACACTCAGGGAACCTCAGTTTGCTTGCTTGTTGGTTTTGATGCTTTTCCTTTATTTTTCTATTATTTTTTTTATTTTTTTGCAAAGTCTTCCAGAAGAACAGCTTGAGGATGACGCCCCCTGCTGGGATCAGGCTGTTTTTTTTTTTTTATGAAGTCCAGGTTCTCATCTGCTTTCTCAGTGTTGGTTAGGCGGGACCAGTGGTCTTTCTCTTATCTAGACTGCATAGATTAACTGTCCATCTCCCCCCACCTCCTTTTAAAACCTCCTTCCCGACATCCGACCACTGCTCACCTAGCCCTCCCTTTACACCATAAACTGGCCGATCGGCACAACCAGGACGATCAGAGGCCCTCCCTCCTCAGCTCTTTGGTTGGATCAAGGCAACAATATGGGGAGTCTGACCTCCCCCCTTATCGATGTGGTGTTTCCCCAACCAGACAGCTGGCTGTGAACGCATCTCAGGGCGCCTATCACGGTCTAACAGTAGCACGCTGACCAAAGTGATTGATGGGACAAAGCAGCCAATGAGAGGTGGGCCAAAAACTTTCCTGGCCCCTTCAGAAATGAGCATTGTACGGCAAGCTCTAGAACGTTCCCTTCTAGTACATCTGGAACGGTTTTTCTCCATGGACGTATTGGGTGTTTGTGTCCTGAATTGGACGGAAGGAACCCTAAGCACAGATTTTCCCCACAGAACTCCCACCCAGCAGCCGTCACTGTCCTTGGAGACTCCCGAAAAACAAACAAAAAAACCTCAAAACGTAACAAAACAGCCAAACAAACAACAACGAAAACTTCATATTATAGGTTATCATTTTTTACAGGTAGCTAACCCACATGTTGCTTCATATGTTCAATACATTTACATAGATAGGTTTGTTTTCCCCTCTCTTTTTATACGTTGTGTGGATAAGTCACCTATAATCTGGTCTTACTGTGTTTTCTTCTTTGCTTTTTGTACCCCGCCCAAACCCCTGGTGTTTCCTCTTATCTGTGATTGGATTATCTCTTTCTAGCTGATTGGTAGTCGGTCTTGCATTTGTGTTTCAAGTTTTTGTGTTGTCGTTGCTGTTTCTTTTCTCTGCTGGCTGTCGGTCAGTCGGTCGGCGTCAGTCATCATGGCAGCAGGTGGAGGAACGTCCTAGAAGCCCAGCGTGCCGCCGATGGTTGACGCCAGGACCACGCCGAGGATGACGCAGCAGATGATGATCATAATCTTCTTCTGCAGGGCGACAGTAGAAATGGACACGGATGAACGATGATGAAATGATAGTTTTAAACCTTATAATCTGTCCTTTGCTGTTTGAAACCACTTTAGAATTATTATTTGGTTAATGATTTGAAAGACATATCAGTTTATTTCCTAAGCAATGCTCTAACATTATGTTAACACAAAGGTTAAAAATATAACAGAAACAAATCACAGCTTTATTGAACTTTTAAGAAAAGCATAGAATGAAACCTGAGTAAAGGTCTTATATCAGCAACATATAACTGCTTGTTACAGAACAACACTCACTCTACAGTTTATATTAAAAATGGGAAACAGAGAGTGAAATATCAGATGAAGAGTGGAGAAGATTACGGCGTTATCAATGGAAATGCTCCGGTTCAATGACCTGCTGGGAATTTAACTGGAAGAAATTTATTAGATATTTTATTAAACCATCCCAGAAATATAAATTCAGGGATCACCATCATTTCTTTTGGGATTGTCCAAAAATTCAAGGTTTTTGGTCAGAAATACATAACTCGCTTTAAGACTTTGTATTTGTATTTGTTCATCAAGATTGGCTGAAAGTGGACAAATACTTAAAGAACATCCTTTTGGTGGCCAGCAAAAAAGCTATCAAGAGATACGTGGAGTACGACGGAGTATTAGGTCGAGAATAAAGTTGTTAAATTAAGAGAATAAAGTCATAAAATTATGACAACAAAGTCATAAAATTACAAGAATAAAGTTGTATTTCATGACAACTCTTCCAAGAAGCCCTTTCTTCCCTAAAATGAGGAATGTGGAGCATCATGGGAAGTTCTACTTTAGCGTCGGTTTGACAAATCAGGAAATCTTTTAGCAGCAGCATCAAACTGGGCGGGATGTCAAAGTGGACTCTGGTTGCTGATTGGTGGAGCTGGTCAGCTGTCATCAGCTGGGAGGAGCTCCAAGCTTTTTTTCTGAAACTGGTTGTTGTTTGATGACTTCATTCTCATAGTATTACGACTTTACTCTCGAAATAGAAGAAAAATCTCTAGGCTGGCCTTAATACTCCGTCATAGTATTAGTACATCGGTCCTCTAAAATTTCGCACAGCTCTGCCAGTCTCTTGATGCTGCCTGCAGTGACACCTGGTGTTTAAAATGAGAACTGCATTGAAAGTCATGCGCTTCAATTTAGCCAAAAATGAAATGCTTGAAAACTAGATAATTTAAGGAAACCTAAACCTTGAGTTCCCATATGGATCTTACAGAGGAGCTGCAGGAAGGACGTTCTGGAGCTCTTACAGATTGACTGCACTCTTATTTATATAGCAAGAAATGAGTAAAGAGCTGCATGGGGGTCTTTCAGGCTACGTTCACACAGCAGCCTGCAGTGACCCAAATCCGATTTCTTTGCATATGTGACCTGGATCTGAACAATTCAGTCTGAACAACTCTTTTTCCAGTGCGACCCAGAATCTGATACGAAGCAGATTTTTTTCAAATGCGACCATTTTTCATTTGGATGAAATAATAGCTGCATGAATCATGACAGCAGACAAGATAGAGGAGAGCAGGAGGCGGGGTTACCAATCTACTCGCTCTGGAGAGCAGAGTTCGCTGCTTTTAGATGTTGTCTCCAAAGTCTCCAGTAGCAGAAAAAGTCTCTAGATTTGGCGCTAGGAGCTTTTTAGAAATCAAAGTGCTAGAGGGGTCTGAAAAGTGGCTAAATATGGCGACTAAAGCGCTAAGTTGGCAACACTGCTCTTTGCATGGTTTGTTTTCAAATGGTTTGCTGCTGTCTGTTTGGACCTTTCTGAACATGTGCAGCAAATGGACTGATCCAATATGGTGGACACTGAAGGGGGGGGCTGAGACACACTTAATATTATCAGCGTTCTAATGGCATTTTAGCCAAAGGATTTTTATCAAAAACATAATTAATGTGCATAAATAAGAAATAGTTGTATTAACCTTACATGTAAAAGGACTTTTATGGGGGCCCTAGGCAACTGCCTAGTTTTGCCTAATGGTAAATCCGCCCCTGTATGAATGCAGTTCACGCAGGAGATCACGTTGAAATCTCATATATTTGGAAACGGCAATGCAAAAAAATCAGAGTTGAGCATTAAGGCCTGCAGTGTGAACGTAGCCTTGGAACCCAGTTGGACCAACGACAGGAGTCCCAGCCTTTGGTTGACCCTGGAGACTCCTGCGACATTATACTGATATAAAACAGGACAGAAATGTTTTACCTTGCGAGCCTGGCTCTGGTATTTTACGGCCTTCTTGGTGTCGGAAACGGCTCGCTCCACGTAGTCCACGGAGTGTTCTACGTTGTACTCAATTCTGTCAATCATTTCTCCCTAAAACAAACGTGAGAGTTTAATCTAAAAGCACGGCGGATGAACCCCTTTGGCCTACTTCATGGTGCCTGACGTCACCTGGCTCTCCACCAGCATGGCCATGTCCACGAACATGTCATGCAGCTCCCGGATGCTGTTTTCCAGCTTGATGATCTCGGTGTGTCGGGTCTCGATCTCGTTCAGGGCCTGTTTGGTCATCTGAGAGTCCATCTTGATCTGCAGGGGAAGTTTGGAAGAGACATTCTTGCTTCTTTGCTTTCTAATTTTCTGCAAAGATTATCTATATAAACAGGTTATAAAAATGGATAAATGTGGTCAGAAAATGTAGTTTCTCTTTTTTCATTTATTGATTTATGCTATTTTTTGATTTATTTAAAAGTTTTCACTCAGCCGGTTTCACCTTCAGGCCACACAATGCCGCTGAGTTTGGGTGTTTGCAGAGCAGACAGAGAACGTCCCATTATAACCACCGCCCACATATTATTCTATGCTGATGACCTTCATCAAAAAACATCAGATATCGTAAATATTGTCTTCTTGCTTGTCAAATATCACACATAAATGGTTCTACTCCTTGTTTTCATTCTTTTTCTTCACCAATTTAAAATGTTTTATAACTCATCAAAACATTTGAAATCTGTTTCTGCAAAAGAAGGAACTGCCAGTATTTATACTTTTCTTGCCCTATTTTTTTTTTCGTTGGCGTTTCTGTTAATGTTCTAATTTTTTTCTACCATGTTTTAATGTTTGTACCTCGACGAGTCCTCGTATACTGATTGTTATATAAAAAAACGAATTAGTTGCTTCTAAGTTAGCTAGAAGGTTTTTTTTTATTATATTAACTTTGTTTATATTTTTATCCTTTGTAGACAAAAATGAAATGAAAATATAGACAAATATTGATACGAAAGGATTAACATCAGTTCAATTAAAATCAGATGCTTCTGAATTGAAGAGAAAAATCTTATAATTACTAAATTAGGGAGAATATTTTTAATCGTTTGATTAATCAGAAACAGATTTACTGGAATTCTTTTAATAATAAGTGAGAAATTAACTTCCTGTGTTTTTTTCAGTTAGAAGTGCTGCAGTTAGCGGATTGTTAGCTTTAATTAGCTCCAGAATAAGAAGGAATATTTTATAATACTTTTTAATAAACCTGCAGATTGTTAGCCTGGTTTTATATTAGCTTGAATTAGCTTTAGATGATTAGAATCAGCTTTAATTGGCCGCACTAAGTGTTGTTAGTGTTCCAGACGTGTTTCATTTTTATTTCTGTTTGCAGACCTGATCTCGTTATCTTTGGTAGTCAGACCAACTTACCTGCTCAGATTAACTCAACACCTGCAGTTAACCTGAACTTTACTGAGCTCTTCTGATTGGCCGAAACACTGTGACATCACAGAGGATGTGGCAGCAGTCAGAGAAGCTATATTTTTGTTAACATCCAGGTGTTTGGTCACATCCCATATTTGTACCTCTGCAGCCGAGGGTGCTTTTAATTTGAAGGAGAAGGAAACAATGAGTCCTCCTTCAAAATAAAAGCAACAGGTGCTTTTCTCTAAAAAAAAAACTTCATGCGATACGACAAATGCCGTCTTCACTTGATGTTTCAGCGCACCTTGCAGCCGCTCTGCATCCTGTCCACATGATGATGCGTACAGGAAGCAGAACGCTGCAGGTTTAAGTGACCGCAGGTGCGGTGCTTACATCATCGGTGAAGATGGCCAGTTTGCCGCTCTCCAACATGTCCTCCAACTCCTCGTTAGTGGTGGTTCTTCCAGCTGTGAACAGAGAACAGAGAGAGAAACAGACGGTTATTCAGAGACGCAGGAACCTGCAGGTCACGTGACGGATGAGGCCGGTCTTCTGTTCCATCAGAAACACCATTCCTAGTTTATTCGAGTCACAGAAAGACTTGAACTTTCCGCAAGTTCAGAAATGTTTTCCTCAAGCAGAATAGTCAGAAGTTTGATTGTTCTGAGCTGCTGAAACATTCAGAACCATCACGGCTGAATCACTCTCTCCGTCTGCAGGTATTTCTGCCTGTCAGATGTAATTAGTGGTACTGTGGGCTCTCCATCTGTCCCAGAAAAGAGGAGAAAGTCGTCATAGCAACCGGTAACTACAGATTTTCTGGACCTTTTAAACCTTTTAGAAGCTTCTGCTGTTTTAGCATCGACCCCATAGTGACTAAGGTCCATGTGGGAGGCGGACATTGATGAATGATGCAGAAGCAGCTTTAGATGGAGACACTGACAACTTTAGGCTTTCTGCTCCTGAAGCATCAAACCCTCAATTTTAGATCCAAAGCCCCGTCAGGCCGGCATACCCTCAGTGATACACATGATGGTTATTAGCAGCTATCAGTCCCATAGAACGGCTTCAGATTGTGCCAGTAGGCCATTATCACTGAGTTAATCCTAATCCTAGTCATCCCTTTTCCCACTGAATTCATGATTCTATTTAAGTTTAATCTGTAAATTATTTCAGTAGTTCTTCATGTAAAAATAAATAAATTAAAATGATCCGCATGTTGTTCATGTTAAACAAACCAAAAACGAATGAATCTCATATCCTGATACTTAGTTGTAGAATCATCTCCCTGTAAATATTTAATTCTCTGTGAAAAAAGTCAAAGATCTTAATAAGATCCTCAAACTACGGAAGACGATTAGTGCCACTGAAAAAAAAAAATAAGTTAACTGATTTTTTAATTTCATTTCAGTTTAATATGGTAAAAAAGTCAGAATTCTGACTTTGATCTCAGAATTTTGGATCTTAATGTAGATGGGCGCCATGAAGGCAGAGATGTGGAGCGCTCAGCTTCACTGACAAAGATGGGAGCTGTTTGAGGTGGCCAGTGACACTTTGGTGGAAAATGACAGAATTAGGCAACTTTTTACGTGCCCGAGGGGTCCCCTCATTAATGGAGGAGCAGAAGCATGGGCGGTTCTAGACAGGGGCACACGGGGGCCAGTGCCCTTGTAGAACACGTCTTGGCCCGTGTACTGAAGACATAATTCTCATAATATATGCACTGAAACAGACAGGGTTACTGATTGGTCCTTTGAATCTATTTCATTTTTTTCTTTACAAATTCTGTTTTACTGATTATTTAAATACAATACGGTGATAGCTTCAGTGGTACTGAGATAGGATCTTAGTTTTTATCTGTAAAATGTTTTTTTTTTCCCCGAAACAAATACAAAAAAATGCTATAATTTTTACAACTAAATTTATCAGTTTTTGAGTTCTAATTCAGATTTTATAAAAAAAAAAAATGGTAATTTTGACTTTCATTAAGTCAGTAAGTTATAAATGTATATTGACCTAATATTATAGGATTTTAATTGAAATTTCACTTCATGCAGCTCTCTTATTATTTTTGAATCCCTTGCTCTGATTTTTTTTTTTCATGCTTTTCTGGGCCCCCATGAAAATATGCTGGCCCCCTCCTGGCCCCCTGGTACATTTGGTCTAGAACCGCCACTGAGCAGAAGGTCATTAAAACAAGAGAGCTAGTCTCTAAAACAGACATGGCTATGGCTTGATGCTAACATGTTTGTTAGCTGTCAGAATTCTGAGATTAAAGTCAGAATTCTGACTTTTTTCCCATATTAAACTGAAATAAAATTTAGAAATCAGTTAACTTTTTTGTATTTTCAGTGGCCCTATCCTTCCGTATCAAACGGACATGCATTGTTTGTTTTTTTAACCAATGTGTGGTCGACCTTTTTTGTTGTTTTCTGCACAAAACTGCAATAAAAACCTGAATAAATCTGGAAATAAAACGACGCGATTGGCTGTAAGGAGAGCGGCGAGAGGACAATCTATGTAATGCGTTTTACTGCGGGTATGCCGGCCTGATGGGGTATGCTGAGCTGACAGAACTCCAGGACTGTCTGACATCTGAATCCTTCCTGTATCTTTGCCTGTTGTGCTTTTAGCGCCACCTGTTGGACAGTTTTATTTCTGGGCATCGACTGTCAGTGAGCTCAGTTTGGGATCATAGAGCAGCTATGGAAGCAGAAAACAAATCTAAATAAATTTTTTTTCTTAAAATAAGTGCATTTTTTTTTTTTTGAGTGGGTAAGTTTGCCAATGGAACAGGATGATTTACATTTAAAATGAGTAAAAACTAATTAATTGTCTTATTTTCAGTGAATATTACCTAATGATCTTATTTTAAGAGTAAAAATACTAATTTCATTGGCAAATCATCTTATTTTCAAACTCAAATTAAGGGTAAATACACTTAATTTAAGATATTTGTACTAATTTATAGATTGTTTTTGCAGTGTATAGAGAGAATCTGAATCTGCATGTGAAACATCAGCTTTTAGAGACGCCTCAGTGCTGCTCAGCGTTTTCTGGGCCGATTTTGTTTTTCTTTTCCCCCGCGGTCAAACAGTCTGGAGGAGTTCAGCTCATCAATCATGATAGGTTAGTTCCCAGGTTGGTGATGGATCAGATTTAAGCTGAACGCAGAAGAAATGCTTTTGGATCCAGAGAGAAAAAGGAGAGCTGTGATCTAGAATGAGCCTGAGCTTGTCAGGAAGGAGCAGCATGGAGCTGCTGGCGTGTGAAGGTCACAGTAAAACAGCTGCATCACCTACGCAGCTCCTCATTCCAACAGTCTGTCTGAGGTGGAGAGAAGAATGAGTCAGTTTTACCTGTTGGCACTTTAGAAACGAAGGATGATGGAGACTGAGAGCAACGTTCAGGATGACATGAAGACGCCCAGACTGCTGTCAGCAGAAACGTCTCTAAGGGTTTTAGGTTTTGTGGCTCCTAAAGGTGTTTGCTTTCCTTTTTGATAAAGCTTCTAGTTAGAGTGGCTCAGGTTATCCTGAGCTATCTCTATAGTTCTGCTGCTATAGGCTTAGACTGCTGGAGGACATAGGGACCCCTTTTTCATCATTCTGCTTCATTCTATCTCTATTTTCCCTAACTAACCTGGAAGCTGCTGCTGCCGCAGTGCATTCTGGGACAGCTGTCAGTCTGGACAATGGACAGGTCTGCTGTGATGCATGCTGGGTAAAGAGGGAGGGGCTAGAACTACATCTGAGGACAGATTGAGAAACGGTCTAAGACTAAATCTAAGATGGCTGTCAACAAACAACACTGAGCACCATGTACCGTGATTTTAACACGAAAGGAAAACATAAAAGACTAGAAAGACTAGATTTATGTTAAAATCCAAAACTGGAAAAGTTAGCTCCTGGACGTAGCGTAGCATCCCATTTCCGGAACAGATTGACACAGACAAGTGATAAAATAGAAAGGATTTAAATGCTGGCTGCTCAGTGGCGCAGTGGGTAGCACTGCTGCCTTGCAGCAAGAAGGTTCCGGATTCGATTCCCGGCCCGGGGTCTTTCTGCACGTTCTCCCTGAGCATGCGTGGGTTCTCTCCGGGTACTCCGGCTTCCTCCCACATTCAAAAACACGACTGTTAGGTTAATTGGCTTCTCTAAATTCTCCTTAGGTGTGAGTTTGAATGGTTGTTTGTCTCTGTGTTGCCCTGTGAAGGAATGGTGACCTGTCCAAGATGGAGGCCGCCTCTCACCCACTGACAGCTGGAGATTGGCATTATTGTGTAAATGTTTCAGAAAATAAACCGTGGTTTTGCTTTGGGAGGATTTTGGATTGAAGATGTCTTTACTTTAAAAACATCTCTCTCTGTAAAGCAGCGTTCCTGCTCTCTCTATTATTATTTATTGGCTGTTTAATGGGACAGATTGATCTCTGATCTGATCTGACACACGCTGATAAAGGTGCTTATTGTCGTATGTCAGCGTAAAACAGCAGCTGCTAATGAGGTTTTCCTAATTATGAGCTGAACGTCTGGATGCTGCTAATGATGTTTGATTCTGCTTGAACGAGCTCCCAGCTCCACAGTCAGGTGGTCAGACATGGTGATGATCACTTCCTGAATTCTGCAGACCTTCCTGAGGGCTTTCACGTCTACAGTAAGGGACGCTGCAGTTTCTGTCAGCGTGGGGACAACAGCACTCTGCTGCCTGCTGGGGATTCCAATTATAGCTGCATTGCTATTCTAAGTCTGCATATCTACACCCTGTGTGTGAGTGAAGTCCATCTACTGGCTGCTCACATTAAAGCAGGGATGTCCTTGAACTTCCTGTATGGACCAGTGCTGCAGCAGCTCTCTCTCCGTCTCTGTAGCTTTAAGCTTATTGGCTTCTGTCTCTTTCTCTCTCCTGCTGATAAATTGCTGCTTCGGTTTCTGAATATTTCCATGTTGCAGCTGAAGGTCAGCGTGCATGGTCATCTTCAGAGGGAGAATAGATATGAACGCAGCTAGAAGAAAAACAATCAGCTCTGTTTTCTCTGACAGAAACCATCATGAACTGGAGACACGGCTTCACTGCTCAGTAAACTGTGAGCCTTTTAATTAGAGCTTATTCTCATTGTTCATAACGCCACAAAAAGAAAAATAATCACAATTAAAATCATAGAAAATAAATCAAACTCCTGGTTTGGACCCTGATGATTGGTTACTGTTTTCTCAGAGTTCAGACAGTGGAGCCAGAACCTGGTGGTCTGGTTCCAGCAGAACCTCCTCCTGATGGGAAACCAAGGAGCTGGTGGACTTTCACAGAAACAGATCCGTCCCACTGACACCTTCTAAGCACCGAGGTGTTCATCTGAATAACAAACTGGACTCCCAACACTGAGCTCTGGATCAGAAAGGTCAGAGCAGACTCTTCCTGCTGAGAAGACGGAGGTCTTCTGGACTGCAGGGGGCGCTGCTGAACACCTGCTCTGACTCTGCTGTGGCATCAGCCATCTTCTGTGGAGCTGTCTGTTGGAGCAGCGGCTCATCTGTAGCTCAGAGGAAGCGGCTGGATCAGCTGATCAGGAAGCCCAGCTCTGATTGGATGCCCTCTGGACTCAGAGCAGGAGGAAACAGACGGATCCTAAATGAAGATCTCTGTTGGATGATAGCCGCATTTCCACTATGCTCTGAAACCGATCCGTGCCGAGTTCAGACCGAGCTCGGATCAGTTAACTCGGTTCCTTACGACCGTTTACGCACCAAGCTAGCATGGTTCCTCGCATCCTAGTGGCGATCTACGGTACTACTGCTCTCTGGACGTAAACAAGCAAACCAACATGGCGGCGCCCGTAACATTCAGGAAGTTTGTGGACAGTCAGGCGAAGAAGGCAGCCTTTGGTGAATTTACTAACAGATTCGGCTTTAGGGAAGTGGATACGACAAACGATAGTCCAATCAGGGCTTCCAGACGCAGGAAACAACGACAGACATTAAGGTTCATCACTGCTGAGCAGAATCGTCACTGGAAATAATGTGGCGCGGTAGGAACGTTTCCTGATGACGGAGGCTGGCTGTAAGGAGATGAGGCCGTCTGCTCACGCACCGCGCTGAACGCTACTGATGGACTAGCACCATGTTAGCGCGGTTCGGTTGTGTCTGGCGCGGTCCGGTTCAGTTGTGCGTACCATTTACACTCCCCCACCCCCAATGCATGAAGCTGGTGCTGAACTGGACAGCTCCTTCAGTGACAGACTGCTGCACCTTAAATGCACCAGGGAGCGTTATCACAGATCCTTCCTCCCAGCAGCTGGAGGACTCTAGAACCACCATTGTTCCCAACAACCTCAATAAATTGTTACATTCGTGCGGAATCTGCACAGTTTCTACCTTAGTCAGTTAAATAACCTGCTGCTGTCATTCTGCACATCTCTGATGTTGCTGCTATTTTCAAATTACTGTAAAAATGTCCATANTTTTTTCTCTCCACTGTTGCTTGGTGTGAGGGATTGCTGTAGAACCAGTATCTATCTCCTGGTCCTGCTCTGACCCGGTGCATCATGTGCTAAGCTGGTTCTGCTGTGTTCTGGTTCTGAACTCACTGATCTCCAGCTGTCTCTGGATGCGGTCCTTGCAGCGGTCGCGGTACTTGGACTGCGTGGTGTTGTACTCGGTCATCACCTCCACAAATTTACGTGACAGCGTCGAGTGCTGCAGGAAGACAAAGAGGAAAATGTCACCTGGGTGAACTGGGAAGTCTGGGAAGGGTTGATAATCAGATTTTCCAGCTGAATATGGAAACATTTCCACAGAAACTAAGAACAGGACTGATGGGAACAGTTGCTCTCTAGGTGGAGATGATGGATCTGAGTGTGAAGCTGCTGCTGATCCTGGAGCTGCGAGTAACTGCAGCTTCTTTCTTGTCCACTGGGGGGCAGCAGGAGAAATGAAGGCTGCAAAAAATCAGCAGCAGGAGAATTTTTTTCCAGCAGAAAATGATGTTTAGGTGGAATTACCTTCCATTAGTAGGATTCTATGACAGATTATCCTCATGTTTCACTGCTACTGTTTTTATGGTGTCTGAACAAGATGATGGGGAGGTTAAAATGCCCGGATTTCTAAAAGGTGTGAATGAGGATATATAAATATCTAACTGTGTGTATATATATATATATATATATATACAGTTATGTATATATTTCTAACTGTAAATCCTTAAAAATACTGAATAATAATAATAATATACTATATAAATATATAATGTTTGTATAAATTATTAATATAAAACTTTGTGTTTATCATATTAATATTTAATTGCAAAATATATAACTTTGAGTTTAGTCAAACAGTTTTTAATCAGAATAAATATGTTCTTTTAAGCGGTTGTGACAGATTATTGTAATATTATCTCTGACTCATCTTTCATTGATTAAACTGAGATCTAAGGCGCCTCCTGATCATTCTGACAGCAGCTGTCTGAATCGTGGTCTGATCCAAGATGGCCGCCCTCCATGCACGCTGGCCTCGCTGCCACCAGATGAGGCGTCGACGTATTAATGTCTATGCCTTCATTGGGGTCTTATTTTGGGGAACTCCGCCCACTTCGGGAGAAGTCCAGCATATCTGACCGCCTGCTGATCAGAAGCAGACCCACCGGTAACGGGTTCGATCACATGCTCTGCTTGTTGGGTGTCCTGACCCGACCCGACCCACCTGCGTCTTACGGATCCGGAGGTCTGCTGATGATCTGTTGAGACCCTCTTCCTGCTCGATGCTCTGCTCGATTGCTGCACAAACACACAGACAGACGATGTTACAGAGGTTTCATTTTATTTCCAGGTTCTGATCCATCAGTATGGAAGCGTATTGCAAAATAATCAGACAGCTTATCTCTTATTTACGGGATCTTATCTATATATTTGTTCATGATTCCTTCAGCCAG